CCATATGACATTTTCTATATTTTTTGGAACCGATACAGCTTTCTTTTGATGATATTTAATCATTCCCCGGTTTTTAATTTTTTGCTGTGCAAAGACTGAAATTAACTGCTTACCTGCCGCCGTATAACAGATATACTGCTACACGGTGGCACGGGTGCACAAAATCATGTATATGTGTGTGTGTGTATATATATATACAGTTGCAAGAAAAAGTATGTGAACCCCTTGGGATTCCGTTAACATGTACACATTCACACTGCAGGGAGGAAAAAGTATGTGAACCGTTGGACTTAATAACTGGTTGACCCTCCTTTGGCAGCAATAACCTCAACCAAATGTTTCTTGTAGTTGCAGATCAGACCTGCACAACGATCTGGAGTAATTTTGGACCACTCCTCTTCACAAAACTGTTTCAGTGTAGCAATATTCTTGGGATGTCTGGTGTGAATCGCTCTCTTAAGGTCATGCCACAGCATTTCAATCTGGTTGAGGTCAGGACTCTGACTGGGCCACTCCAGAAGGCGTATTCTGTATGTTGCAGCCATTGTTTTGTTGAATTACTTGTATGCTTTGGGTCATTGTCCTGTTGCATCACCCATCCTCTGCAGAGCTTCAGTTGGCGGACAGATGGTCGTACGTTTTCCTGCAAAATGTCTTGATAAACTCTGGAATTCATTTTCCCATCAATGACAACAATTCGTCCAGGCCCTGAGGCAGCAAAGCAGCCCCAAACCATGATGCTCCCTCCGCCATGTTTTACAGTGGGGATGAGGTTTTGATGTTGGTGTGCTGTGCCTTTTTTTTCTCCACACATAGTGTTGTGTGTTCTTCCCAGACAACTCAATCTTGGTTTCATCTGTCCACAGTATATTTTGCCAGTAGTGCTGTGGAACATCCAGGTGCTCTTTTGCAAACTTCAAACGTGCTGCAATATTCTTTTTGGACAGCAATGGCTTCCTCCGTGGTGTCCTCCATGTACTCCATTCTTGTTTAATGTTTTCCTTATTGTAGATGTGTCAACAAAAATGTTAGCATGTGCCAGAGATTTCTGTAGGTCTTTAGCTGACACTCTGGGATTCTTCTTTACCTCATGCAGCATTCTGCGCTGTGCTCTTGCAGTCATTTTTACAGGACAACCGCGCCTAGGGAGAGTAGCAACAGTGCTAAACGTTCTCCATTTGTAGACAGTCTGTCTTACCGTGGACACATGAACATCAAGGCTTTTGGAGATACTTTTGTAACCGTTTCCAGCTTCATGCAAGTCAACAATTCTTGATCGCAGGTCTTCTGAGAGCTCTTTTCTGCGAGGCATGGTTCACGTCAGACAGTGCTTCTTGAAACCAGTAAACCCAAAACAGGTGAGTGTTTTTTTAACGGCAGGACAGCTGTCAGCAACACATCCAATATCATCACACTGATTGGAGTCAAGGTTGGCTCACTCCTGGCTCCAATTAGCTCTGGGATAAGTCATTAAGCTAGGGCCTCACATACTTTTTCCTCCCTGCACTGTGAATGTTTACATGTTATGTGCAATTAAACCATGGCAACATCTAATGTTTGTGTAGTATTATGTTCAGCAGACTGTGTTCTTCTATTGTTGTGACTTAGATGACGTTCAGAGCACATTTTATGCCCAATTCATGCAAAACTCCACGGAATCCCAAGGGGTTCACATACTTTTTCTTGCAACTGTATGTGTGTGATTCTGCATTTCCGGGTAGGGGTGCGCGCCCGCTACCCGCGCTACCATTCGCGGCCGCGGATGTCAATCACCAGGTCCTGCCCGGTGATTACCAACAATCACTAATGGGGATGAAGACTGTTTTGTTTTCAGTCTTCCTCCCTGTCAGCTCGGGCACACTGCTCGGGATGGCTGAGCAGTCGAGTCGAAAATCAGTCGTTTTTTCACGTATCTTCCAACACGCTCGATCACCGAAAAGGGGAGGAACCACGAAAATCGTCCGGTGCTATTGACCCACTAACAGAGCGAAAATCGGCTCTGCTCGGGATGGCTGAGCAGTCGAGTCGAAAATCAGTCGTTTTTCACGAATCTTCCAACATGCTCGATCACCGAAAAGGGGAGGAACACACGAAAATCGTCCGGTGCTATTGACCCACTAACAGAGCGAAAATCGGCCGATTATTCTTATGTCAGATTTTCAGATGAAAAATCGGACAAATTTCGACCCAGGTATGGCCAGCCTTAGTCATACTCTCACCCCCTCTCCCACCTGTGGAGGCAATAGGGGAATGAGCACACAAACTAGCCTGTTTCTGTACAAGAAAGGAAATATATAAATATCATTTAATCACAAATCTCAAGGTGACAACCAGGAAAAAGGGGCAAAAAGTGTAAGCGTTTTTTGTATTTCCTGTATCTATCTATCCATTTGTTATAGATGAGCCTTAGTTTACAATGTGAGTCTATATGAAAGCACAACCGTCCTGAATAACTGCGAAACGCGTAGATGGAATATGATACCGTTCTGGGATGTTCTGAAGCTTTTGGAAATGTGTTTCTTTTAACCTATATTTGTTGGTTGCTGGGGTGCATATTTAAAGTCCCGTATTTTCTCCTTTTCTTTCTTGGTTTTGATATATTGCTCCCGTGGAAATATTATAATCTATGCTGTATATGACTGTATATGCATTGGGCAGTACTACACAGTGCAGACCAACACTGTTGATGTGAACAAGCCTTTAAGCAGAAAAGATTCATTCAAAGAGACGCTGTCACCGGACCGATCATTTTAACCAAAAAAAAGTCCTAAAATGTAATGTTCTGTACTGTTAAATCCCTCCCTTGTGTACAATTGTGTACATATGGTATCAGAGGCGTCCCTAGGGTAGGTGTCACCCGGTGCGGTAACACTTGGTGACACCCCCTATGACGATCCCCGCAGAATGGATCAGATCTGTGGATTGAGCATAATGGATCAGACTCTGATCCATTATGCTCAAAACACAGATCCGAAGCATCCTGCGGGGATCGTCTGCTTTCTTTACAACTTTCCTTTTCTTGGAGAGGGTCTGGTGTCACCCCGTATAGGTTGCATGCCGACGAGGATTATCGGCATGCAACTTATACGAGGTGACATCAGACGCGCTCCAAGAAAAGGTAAGTTGTAAAGAAAGCCGACGATCCCCGCAGGATGGATCGGATTCATCCTGCAGGGATCGTCAGCATGTGACCTATACGGGGTGACACCGGACCCGCTCCAAGAAAGGGTAAGTTGTAAAGAAAGCCGACGATCCCCGCAGGATGGATTGGATTCATCCTGCGGGGATCCTTGACTTGCTTTACAACTTACCTTTTTGTGGAGCGGGTCCCGTGTCACCCTGTGCGGTCGGTGTCACCCGGTGCGGACTGCATCCCCCGCACCTGCCTCAGGACGCCACTGTATAGTATAAAAGCCCAGAGACTACTGCTTGCTGCAGTCATCTCGGATGTGATGTCAGGTTCCCCAAGTGACACTATAGTATTCCCCTTCGCTCCATCCCCAGCAACTCCATAAAAGGTTGTGAAGAGGGGAGGGGTGGGGAGCTGGGCCAGCACAGACAGTAATTAGACACTTCCCGAAGAGTAGAGGGCTATGACATGTAGAGGGAGGGGGCTGTGCTGGGGAGTTGAGTCTCTTTGAAGAAATAAAGTTTTCTAATAAGTTGCAAGAGAACAAAAATCATTTATATCCTACGGGGTCAAGAGTTGGTAAAACTATCCATTCCCGCTGACTACGTTTGTGATTGCTGTGACTAAGCTATGCATTGCAGCCATGATTCATGTAGTAGAATGTAATGTACCAACCAGCAGATTGGGTTTCCTGTTCCTCATTAGGGGATGTACAGTATATTACGTGGTAACCCACGCTGAACTGTTCTCACATTCTTCGCTGGTCATTCCCAGAGTGTGCGCCTCCCTCCATACTAAATCCACCACAGATGTTGTAACCACCACTAACAACTTGTGTGCTTGACACCTCTATTGTGCTGTTTTTCATTAAAACAATTCTAAAACCCAGTTATAAAAAATAATTTAAAAAAACACTTTGGAGTGTATAAAACATTTCCAGAGCAATTCAACCTGCAAAGCTCAAGTACATTTGTTGTGTGTGAATGCCAGCAAAGTCAGAAGTTACTTAGCTATTTTCTCTCTAGGTCAGATGCTCTTCATTCACAGGAGTAGCATGAATCAGGAAAAGACTGCATTACCGCCACTAGATGGAGCGGATGATAATAAATAATATTTGTCAACTCCATCTAGGGCCATAATGCCATGTTTTATGTACTCATGCTATTTCCATTTTCTGTCTGGTGAACATGTTGTCAGCGAGATGGGAAGGGAGAGTAATTCTCTTTTAAAGTGTTACTAACCCCACAACAGTAAAATTAGTCTGTATTTGCAGTAAAGCATGCTTGTTATACTCACTGTGGAACCTAAGGGGTTAATCCTCTGCATTGTGTAAAAAGGCTGTTTGATCCTGTCTTATCTGATCCTCCCCTTCTTCCAGCACTCTCTCCCCCCCCCCTTTTATCTCCTTATGCAACATATTGTGTGGTGATACACTGTACATGCTCAGTTTGGTGTATGTTTTTTTTTTCTTGGGAGAGTGCATGTGATCAGCACAGGGCCAATTAGCACTGTCCAGACAGAGGTCAGGGGTTCTGCATCCTCCTAGAGCAGAAAGAAAACTCCTCCTACAAGCTATAACCAGTGCTCTGCTGAACACTGATAGAAGTCACAAGACTGCTCTAAATGCTGATGAGAAAAGGTAGTTAGCAGGTTATATTTACTAAAATGATTGCATTTCCATGTTCTGTGGGAGAGCAGATATAGTGAATGCAGGGTCTGGGGAGACCAGATATAGTGAATGCAGGGTCTGGGGAGAATAGATATAGCGAATGCAGGGTCGGGGAGACCAGATATAGTGAATGCAGGGTCCGGGGAGACCAGATATAGTGAATGCAGAGTCCTGGGAGACCAGATATAGTGAATGCAGGGTCTGGGGAGACCAGATATAGTGAATGCAGGGTCCGGGGAGACCAGATATAGTGAATGCAGGGTCCGGGGAAACCAGATATAGTGAATGCAGGGTCCGGGGAGACCAGATATAGTGAATGCAGGGTCCGGAGAGACCAGATATAGTGAATGCAGGGTCCGGGGAGACCAGATATAGTGAATGCAGGGTCCGGGGAGACCGGATATAGTGAATGCAGGGTCCGGGGAGACCGGATATAGTGAATGCAGGGTCCAGGGGGACCGGATATAGTGAATGCAGGGTCCTGGGAGACCAGATATAGTGAATGCAGGGTCCGGGGGAGACCAGATATAGTGAATGCAGGGTCCGGGGAGACCAGATATAGTGAATGCAGGGTCCGGGGAGACCAGATATAGTGAATGCAGGGTCCGGGGAGACCAGATATAGTGAATGCAGGGTCAGGGGAGACCAGATATAGTGAATGCAGGGTCCAGGGAGACCAGATATAGTGAATGCAGGGTCCTGGGAGACCAGATATAGTGAATGCAGGGTCCGGGGAGACCAGATATAGTGAATGCAGGGTCCGGGGAGACCAGATATAGTGAATGCAGGGTCCTAGGAGACCTGATATAGTGAATGCGGGGTCCGGGGAGACCAGATATAGTGAATGCAGGGTCTGGAGTTTAGTAACACTTTAAAGCCCATTTCAGCGGCCATCCTGTATTCCAGGAGGCCGACATCTTCAGTGTGGGCACCCAGCTGTGATAGCTTGCGGCTTCACAGCCTGGTACCCACTGCGCATGCGCGAGTAGTGCTGCGCTTCATGAATGGTCCTGTAATCTTCTGGGAGAGAGGACAACTTTCATTTCTGATCGCCTAGGCGATCGGACTGGAAATGGGAGCGGGTACCTGTCAAATTCGGGTACCTGCTCCCCCCCGCCCCCAAAGGTGCCAATCCCTAATGTGGAGCGGGGGAGCAGTCCTTAAAGTGGAACTTCCCCTTTTGGGTGGATCACCCGCTTTAACGGAGCTCCAGAGAGTAGCAAAAACCTGACAGAAGTTCCAATTCTTCCCTATTTTATCCAAAGCTAGAAAAAGAATATTTGGCTTGGCATACACTTTAACCCTTTGATGGCCATAGGCCGTATATAAACAGCCTGGACTTCAAGTGGTTTGAACAGGCTTGTATCTGCAGGCATGCGCTTGGTACCGTTCTTTTCAGGCAATTCACGGCTTTTTAGTAGATGTGACTGTAGAGCTGTCCAAACGCTTTTACAATATTGTCAAGTAAAAGGGCTATTCACCCTCAAACAGCATGGACAAAGACAAACAAAGATCGTCAATGTACCGGAAATGACATCACCATGCTTCCACCAGACGCATTGCGTCATGCATCACGTGACTACATAAGGGATCTGTTACTAAACCCAGGATCCGTGATGTAGTCATGTGATGCATGACGCAACACGTCGGACGGAAGCGTGTGACATAATTTCCAGTACGGCGACAGTCGCCGCCATCTTTGTCCATGCTGTTTGAAGGTGAATAGCACTTTTACTTTATGTGAGTGCATTCTTTGCATTATTTGAGAATTTTAATAAATGTAACCCTACTGCACTATGAGGAGCCCCTTTCTTTTACTGTATAGGTGAATATTATACCCTGCAGGTTCCGGATGTGGAGTTTACAGCGCCCAAGACGCATGGAGGAATGAGGAGTTGGAGTTATGCTTAGTAACCTTTTGTGATGCGGGACAACCTGTGGAGGTGAGCGTGTGTTGTTACTGGTGGTGGTGGATATCACAGTACACCAAAGGAGAAGATTCACCAAATTACATATTGTGGATTTACCGTCATTACGGATTGTCACTTTTATGAACTTTATTGTTGCCATTTCACTTTTTTAGTCACTTTGTATAGTATTATTTATTCATGTATGATTTAATATCACATTTGTCACGTGTTTAGTGCCTCATCTGTAGTTATTTACACCCCCTGGCAGGGGGTCAGCCGGGTGTTTACTTTATTTTTTTTGTATCACTTTATTTATTTTTATTTTTTTGTCACTCTACACCAGCGGTCACTAAATGGCGGACCGCGAATGGCCCCAGCAGCGCTGCTGCCCAGACCACCAGCCCGCAATGACAGATCCGCCACTGAGCAGGGCGCCCCACCCCTTTCAGCTCACTGTCTCTACGGCTTCTGCTCCCTGCCTGCCTGTCACAAGCGTCCAGCAAGGATCCAGCACAGCTCTTGTCTGCCCTCAGGTAGGGTGTAGTCTTACAGGGACACTCTGACGGGCACATTGAATGTTAAGGGGCACTCTGATGGGCACAACATAGAATGTGCTCATCAGAGTGCCCCTTAATATAAATTGTGCTCATCAGAGTGCCCCTTAATATAAAATGTATCCATCAGAGTGCCCCTTTATATAAATGTGCCCATCAGCATGCCCTTTATTTTAAGTTAAGGGGCACTCTGATGAGCACATTGTATGTTAAGGGGCACTCTGATGAGCACATTTTATATGAAGGGGCACTCTGATGGGCATACCATAAAATGTACTCATTAGAGTGCCCCTTAATATAAAAATGTGCTCAAATGGGCACATACTGTGGAAAGGGGCACTCTGATGGGCACATGTGATAGAAAGGGGCACTCTGATGGGCACATGTGATGGAAAGGGGCACTCTGATGGGCACATGTGATAGAAAGGGGCACTCTGATGGGCACGTGTGATGGAAAGGGGCACTCTGATGGGCACATGTGATGTAAAGGGACACTCTGATGGGCACATGTGATGTAAAGGGACACTCTGATGGGCACATGTGATGTAAAGGGGCACTCTGATGAGCACGTGTGATGGAAAGGGGCACTCTGATGGGCACGTGTGATGTAAAGGGGCAGTCTGATGGGCACGTGTGATGGAAAGGGGCACTCTGATGGGCACGTGTGATGTAAAGGGGCACTCTGATGGGCATGTGTGATGGAAAGGGGCACTCTGATGGGCACATGTGATGGAAAGGGGCACTCTGATGGGCACATGTGATAGAAAGGGGCACTCTGATGGGCACGTGTGATGGAAAGGGGCACTCTGATGGGCACATGTGATGTAAAGGGACACTCTGATGGGCACATGTGATGTAAAGGGACACTCTGATGGGCACATGTGATGTAAAGGGGCACTCTGATGAGCACGTGTGATGGAAAGGGGCACTCTGATGGGCACGTGTGATAAAGGGGCACTCTGATGGGCACGTGTGATGGAAAGGGGCACTCTGATGGCACGTGTGATGTAAAGGGGCACTCTGATGGGCATGTGATGGAAAGGGGCACTCACTGATGGGCACATGTGATGTAAAGGGGCACTCTGATGGGCACGTGTGATGGAAAGGGGCACTCTGGGCACGTGTGATGGAAAGGGGCACTCTGATGGGCACATGTGTGATGTAAAGGGACACTCTGATGGGCACATGTGATGTAAAGGGGCACTCTGATGAGCACGTGTGATGGAAAGGGGCACTCTGATGGGCACGTGTGTGATAAAAAGGGGCACTCTGATGGGGCACATGTGATGGAAAGGGGCACTCTGATGGGCACGTGTGATGTAAAGGGCACTCTGATGGGCACGTGTGATGGAAAGGGGCACTCTGGGATGGGATGTAAATGTAAAAGGGGCACTCTGATGGGAAATATGATAGAAAGCGGTACTTTGAGTGTTAGGGGGCACTCTGATGGGAATACCTGATGTAAGGTGGCACTGTGATGGGGATACCTGATGTAAAGGGGCACTTTGATGGGCACACCTGATGTAATGGGAATACATGCTGTAAAGTTGCACTCTGATGGCAACTTCTAATGTAAGGGGGCACACCCTATTTGGACCTCGGCCAGAAGAAAGTTTTAGTGAATTTTAATTCAATACCCCTGCTCTACACCACGGTTAGCAGGTCTTATCCTTTATTAGGATAGGGCATAGATTATCTATTGATGGCCTGAAGGGTATTTATCTTATGGTTTGATTACCGCTCTGTCGGATGTTTACTTATTTATTTTTACTGATTTATGTATTTAATATTTCTCTTACGCAGCGAGTTAGGGGTCAGTTATAGCGCAGTACTATTTATTTATTTTATTGACTTATGTGTAGTGATGGAACACTTTTTCGGTCGGTGCTTGCTGTTTTTCAGTTTAGTTTTATTCACTTTTTGGCAGTGCATAAGATCCTTCTTATTATTGTATACATGTATATAAACAGCATCAGCATCGCCCATCAGAATGAGAGCAATAATTCAAGGCCATCATTCACTGTCAACTTAAAACTCATAACCTGTAAGGCTCGGTTCACACTGCTGTGATTTGGGATCTGACTTGTGAGACGCCAAGTGGCATGACATGTGAAATCCCATGTTAGTCAATGAGAGCTGTCTTAATTGCCACTACTGAAGTCACTCTGACTTTAGAACAGGTTCCTGTACTACTTCAAGGCAGCTTCTATCTGACTTGTGCCCATAGATTTAATGGAAGTCTCCTCCAAGTTGGATCCTCATTTATAATAATGTGATTTGGATCCGACATTACAAGAAGCTTACCCTGGCCTTCCTCGATAGTCACTTCAGAGTCGCAACAAGTCGCATCAAACTAGTACTCAAGTCGCCAGGAAGTCGCCTGCCAAAGTCACACTGTAAATCTCACAACTTTCCGGTCGCAGTATTGTGAACCGAGACTGAAGGCTTTTAAAGAGCTGCATATGGACATTATTAGCACATCATTTTAAGGCTTGACATATCTGGTATTTATGTAATCACCACAACTCCATCTTTTTACATTTCACCAAAAGTAAGTATTATATTGTGTTTGTATGCACTAAAACACATTTTTGTGTATTGCTGCTAAAAATAGGTGTTTGCATGTGAATAAAGTTTGATGTAAAAAACTACAACATATATATTCGTTTAAAACTTTAAGTAGTTTTCTAAAAATAAAAATGCAGATTTTAACATGTGTGAGTGAAAAATTAAACAATTTGCCCAAGTGGCTAATTTCCAAAATTCCATCATTTTTTTTTCCCTGAAATGTAGTAGTTGATATGGCTCTAATGCAGGCCATAGATGGGTCGAAAATCGGCCGATTTTTCGTCCGAAAATAAAATCGGCCGATTTTCGGATCGTTAGTGGGCTATTTGGTCGGCCGTTTTTCGGTATTTTGGCCGTTTTTTTTTTCTGTAAAGTTGGAAAAAAATCGGCCGATTTTGCCGATCGGCGATTTTCGCGGCAATTAGTGGGCAAATCGGCCGATTTTTTGCCAAAATCTGCGCATGAGCAGTGACCTGCAAGAGGATGACAAAAAGAAGAAAAAGAAGAAGAAGAAGAGGATGAAGAAGAGGATGAAGAAGAAGAAGA